TATTCCTATGGGTCACTGCTCCTACAAAATGTCGTTAATTTAACTAAAGTAATGAAGCTAAAATAATACTGTTTTGTGTTAAAATAATAAATTTTAACTCACACGTTAATTAATACGGTACGGTAATTAAAAATAACAAAAGGTTATTTAATTTAAGATACTGGTTCAAACTTCATTCTTTAATATTTAACAGTGATAGTATTGTACATTCGTTATTACATCATTGTTCCGTAATTAGCTGCATCGAATACATTTCTTGTCACGATTCACTCTGTTTCGATCATTTCCAATATCTATCAAAACATTTCGAATCTTATAACAGCGTTTTAAACGCCGAAAAAGCCTCGTTTCAGGTTAATTAGATTTTCGCTATTTTTTTCCGCGCCTTTTTCCAAAGTGTTGTCGTTCTACGTTAGGTACGTGAATTATAATAAATAGATCCGTGCGCGCTGCGACGTGATTGGTCCGCCGGTTCCAACCGTCCTGTGAACATTCGGGCAATCAGGGCGTCGCGTTTTGACGAGTTTTGAATCGCGGATTCAGTTCGCGGAACGCGTCGCGACGACTCGCCGGAGTTCTTAACGCGCCTTGTGCCTCTCGCGATTATACGTATATCTATTGTCTTGGAAAGTGAATCTCGTGCGCGGGTGTCTCCCATGAAGTATCGGCCGTGATGCGCTGTATTAAACGTCGCCGATCGCGCCCCTGCATCACGGTATCGACGCCATCGACGGTCCGTTTCGCGCACGGAGGAAGATCCTCGCGGACGTTGCGCCATTTTGTCACCGACGTGAGACAAAGGCGCGATTGATACGCGGTGTCGTGGCCAGGTATGCATAAATTATCATTCTATAACTAACTGCGCCGATATCTTATATTCTCGTTGTTAAAAATATATTAGTATTTTCGCATCGCCGTCGGCAGTTCTACATCTAATGCCCATATCACACTAGCGATTGGGCGATTGCGTTTACGTTTGCGTTTACGTTTACGTTTACGTCTTTTGACCAATCTGAACGGAAATCGTGAATCGCAATCGCCAGCAGCTACTTTTTGATTGGTTAAGAGACGTAAACGCAAACGTAGACGCAATCGCCAATCGCTAGTGTGATACGGGCATAACACACGCGCGCGCGCGTGTGCATGTATATAAAAAACTTCATCGCGAATTTTTCGTAGCGCTTCGTCGGCGCCTAAAAGCGATCGAAATTAGGATCGCGGAGATATGGCTGAATTCGTAATCGCGTTCATTACCGTACTTTGCCGAGTTTTAACGCGAGATACATCCTGAATACGCTTAATTAATCAGGATCGTAAATACATTTTCGCGGACGTTGTATTTCAAACATTTGAATAAAGAATCGGCTCCCAGCTCTAATATATAGACTCGTTTCATTCGATGCGCGCGTTTCAATGCGAAACGTAAATAATTCAATGCCGCGTCTCGGCGAGCCAATTTTTTTTTTTTCTCGAACGTATTCCATTTCCGCGATCGCGTCGGCGACCGAGACGCGCGGCACACGGGGGCCGAGCTACGTCGAAACCGATCGGAATATTACTCCGACTGCGAACTTTTACCAAACGTCGCGACAACTCGACGGTACGTTTCCCC